TTTTTGATAATTGCCATTCTGACTGGAGTGAGATGAAATCGCAGGATAGTTTTAAATTGAATTTCTCTAATTGCTAGTGATGTTGATTTTTTTTTCATGTATTTGTTGACCATTTTTATTTATTCTTCTGTGAAGTATTCTGTTCCTTTGCCCATTTATTGATTGAGTCATTTGTTTTTTGGTATTTTTTGAGTTCTTTATATATCCTGGAGATTAATGTTCTCTCTGATTTACAGGTGGCAAAGATTTTCTCCCATTCTGTAGTCTCTCTGTTTATGTTTTTTATTGTTTTCTTTGCTGTAAAGAAGCTTTTTTGTTTGATACCATACCATTTATTGATTACTGATTTTACTTATTGTGCTTTAAGAGTCTTATTGAGGAATTCATTTCTGAAGCCAACAGGATGGAGATTTGGGATGACTTTCTTCTAGTAGGTGCAGGGTCTCTGGTCTAATACCTAGGTTCTTGGTCCACTTTGAGTTGAGTTTTGTGCAGGGTGAGAGATGGGGATCTAATTTCATTTTGTTACATATAGACATAAGTGACAAATTTAAGAGATTAGAGACATGAACTGGGTAAAATCAGGGTTTGTGTTCCATTCCCACAGAGGAGGAAAATGAGTCTTAAATACTCAACTTTGTCCCTTTCATGTTTCCACTACAGGCCCCATTAAGTATTATCACTGACCTTGACAACCTGCATAGGTCTTACTGCCGGAATCATAGGGGAGAAGATATAAAAGGGGCAGAAATATTCATCTTCTGATGGCTAGAATTATTGTACTGAATTCACAGAACCGTGAATGAGGATAAAGTTATTCAAAAGGAAAAACAAGCTTTAGTTTAATCCTGTCTGCTATTTGTATGTTATACACTGTGTGATTTAGTGGGAAATCCTTCAACAGTGGACTAGATGATCCAGGCTCTGTGACCAAATCTGTGAGGAATCCCATCATTCTCTCTTTTCTGATGTCTGAAGCAAGGCACCAGCCCTAGGCCAATGATGAAGGGTTTAATCTTGTCTCAGTCCTGCCTGAAGCGAGCATAAGTAAGTCCCAGTTAAGACTGAGGGGTAGGGGGTACAAAAATGCATGAGCAACTGGAGAGTCAAAAATAGGGTTGTCAGATTTAGCAAATAAAAATACAGAGTTCCCATTTAAACTTGAATTTCAAAAAAGCAATGAATAAATTTTTAGTTTAAGTTTAGTTTTAGTTTCAGTTCCCATATCTCAACAAGTGCATTGTTAATAATAAGCTTCAAAACAGATACAATTCATTACCCCACATACTGCATGGCACATGGACTCATAGTAAAAATACATTAGTTGTTTTTCTGTAATTAAAATTTTACTTGAAGTCTTGTATTTTATCTGTTGGCCCTAGTTAAAAAAAAAAAATCAAATACCTTGAATTAAATCTAACGTCTCTTCATTTGAGGAACTAAGGGCTCTCAGAGGTTAAGAGAGCCTGGGTCATATTATGGTAATGTTCATACATATTTTAACTTTTTAAAAGTTAATAATTTAGGGGCTGAGGTTGTGGCTCAGCGATACAATGCTCGCCTAGCGAGTGTAAAGCCCTGGGTTCGTTCCTCAGCACCACAGAAAAATAAATAAGTAAAAACAAAGGTATTTTTTAAAAGTTAATAATTTAAATGTATTTTTGCAGTTCACTAGGTAGTTATAGAATTATATATTTAAAATTAAACTAGGTACTACTTAATTTTTTTATTATATTGTGGTAAGAATATTTTAAAAAATCTACTTTCTTAAATACATTATCAATGTGACCATAGGTACAATGTTATAGAGCCAAATCTTTGGTGCTTACTCATCCTTTTTTTTTTGTTTTCTTGTTTTGGTACTGGGGGATTAAACCCAGGGCTGCTTAACCACTGAGTCATATCCCTTCCTCTCTTTATTTTTGAGAATGGGTCTTGCTAGATTGCTTAGGGTCTCACTTGGTTGCTGACTCTGGCCTTGAATTCCTGATCTTCCTGCTTCAGCCTCCTGAGTTGCTGGGGTTAGAGGCATGCACTACCTCACCCAGCTATTTGTTCATCTTTCTTGACTAAAACTTTTTATTATTATTATTATTAGTTGTTCAAAACATTACAAAAGACTAAAACTTTATGCCTGCTGATTTTCTCTCTTCATTCTTGTCTTCTAGCAATAAGTAATCTCTGTACCTCTAAACAGTGATGCCAGAATCCTAAATAAAATTAGTAATCTGAAAGAAAAATTTTAAACTGCCATCACTTTAGGCCATATGGTTGGATCGTTCATAAAAAATTTAAAATGTCAAGTGTAAAGCTAGGTGTAGTAGCATATGCCTATAATCACAACGCCTGTAAAAACTGAGGCAGGAGAATCACAGGTTTGAGGCTAGCCCCAGCAACTTAGTGAAACCCTGTATCAAAATAAAAGCATGAAGTGTTTGGGCTGTGGCTCAGTAGCATAGTTGACCCTGTAATTCCAGTATCCAAAAAGCAAATAAATTAACAAAATGCCAAATATACTTTAAATCATGTACATAGAACCTAGTTAGTATATGCATTTGTTATTTGGAGACAATAGCATAGTCCAAATTGGAGAACTTTTATACAGTGTTGTGCTGGGAGCCAAATGTCCCTCTCCCTACCCCAGCCACAGAAGAAGGAACTGAACTATTGCTTGAAATATCTTCTTTTGTTTCATCCACAGATATGAAATGTCATCTTCCAGATTTGAGAACTGTATTTGTTTCCTTTGGCTGCAATAACAAATTATCATAAACTTGATAGCTTAAAACAACACACATTTATTTTTGTATTGTGGAAGCCAGAAGCCCAAAATCAAAGCATAAGGAGGTCTGTGTTCCCTCAAGAGGATCTTGGGGAGAATGCCTTCCTGTCTTCTTCCAGCTTCTGGTGGATACTGGCATGGGTTAGTCTGTGGCTGTGTCATTCCAATCTTAGCCTCTGCTGTCACTTACCTTTTCCTTTTGTGTGTTAAATTTCCCTTTCCCTCCCTCTTACAAAGCCATGTGATTGCACTTAGGGCCCACTCTCATAATTCAAGATAATCTCCCCATCTGAAGGTCTTCAAATATATCACATCTACAAAGTCAATTTTCCCCTATGATAAGGTATCATTCAGAGGTTCCAGAGGATTCAGACATGAATATCCCTGGAGGCCATCAGTCAGCCTCCCACAAGAGCAGAGGAAATGCCTTGCACACAGGTTTTTGAAGAACATAAACTGGCTTAGCAGTGGGATCAACCAGATATCTGTTTAACTGGTGATGTCTTTCACAAATTGTGAAGAATCGAAAATGCAAAAATGAAGGCTTAGCTATTTGCATAGGAATGCCTAAAGTCATGAGGCTGGACTGTGTCCCTTTCATGTTTCCAATACAGGCCATAGACAGTGTCCTTGATCCCACCAAAGAAAGGCCACTTTAATAGATTATTGGGGATCAAATCCCTGCTCCACTAATTATTGGCTTTGTGATCTACCTTGGTTCTGTTTCCCATCTATAAAATAGTCTTCTCATAAAGTTGTTGAAGATTAAATGAGCAAAGATGTAAAGTGGTTGGAGCAATGACTACTAGATGATCTAACTTAACATGAGCTGCTATTTGTTTCAATGGATAAACTAAAGAGATAAGGATCTTGTTCCAACCATATTATTTTTTAAAGTTACAACCATATTATTTTTAAAAGTTACAAAATGAGTGGGGGGAAAAAGAGGTACCTGGGTTTGTTTTTTTTTTTTTTTTTTTTTTGTTTCTCTGACACTGACTTAAGGAGATTCAGAGTAAAAGAAGAGAACAAGGGGAAAACCAATGCTCTGCTGGAAGGAAAGATGCTGAGCGGGCTCTCTGTGGTGCTGGTAGTAGCTCAGCCATGTGGTTGGGCAGCAGGTAGTCAGGTATTGTATGAAGAAGGCCGGCTGTTTGTGGCTTGTGATGGTGTGAAGAGACATGGAGACGTGGAGGCTCACAAGCTTCACATATAGTGACTAAAAAGTTATCAATCTTGGTGACAGTCTCATCTTAGAAAAACTGGGTAATACTTACAAGGTAGGCTCATTTAAAGGAATCAAGGAGTGTATGAGAAATCACATAGTCAATGCAAATTATTTTTAGTTTTCTATAAGACCTATTATTTGGGTTATAAGGAAGTATTTAAGTGGTTTTTTTTCCTTTAAATATGATATAAAATCACCAAAGCTTCTCATATTTGAAGGCACTCATTCTTCCAAAATTTTGAACATAATTTTATCCTGAGGACAATGTTAGGGCTATGCTAGGAGTTGCTGATAAAGTTATGAATATGAATGTGATATATGAAGTTTTGTCCGGAGAAATTTATGGGCCATCAATAGAGACAATATAATTTTTTAAAGATGTGATTATTTTCATGAGACTATGTACAGAGTGCTGAAGGAGCTCTTACAAAGTAATTTCTAACTTTGCTGGAACAGGAAAAAGTAAATATTAAATATTTTTGTAACAACAATAACAACAACAAAAAAAAAGGAGAAATCAGTGGAGGATGGCATGTTTGATTTGGATTTGACTAAAGGACGTTGTTCAGGAACTTTGCCGGGCTTGTTGCATGTGGTGAAAGGTGAGCTGACATGTAACCCCAAAGGCCAATGAATAACTGCTCGGTGATTACTCTGACTCCCGGGAATACATTTCTATAATATTAAAAGTGACATATGACTCATTAAAAATATACATCCATATATATATATATAGTACACAATATAGCTACAGCATCTAATATATCTATCAAAGCAAGGTCCTGTGCACCGAAGGTGCAAAGGTGCAGGGGGAATGTGGGTGAGGACCCCGAGACCTTTCCCCTCCTCCTAAACCCAGAGGTTTATGGAGCGTGGGTGGGGGCTCCCTGTAGGGGAAGTTCAGAGCCGAGGGAGCGGCAGAAGCACGTGGGCTGAGGGGGGTGGGAGGACGCAGACGGAGGAGTAACCGGTGGAAGTGTCAAAGAGGAAGGAGTGGAGGGCTGCCGGGGTGACAGGGTGTGGTCTCTGGCGAGCGGGCGAAGCGGGAGAGGAAGGCAGAGACCCGTCAGGATTGAGGGGGCAGTGGGGGCCAAGTCTGCGTCGCTCGGTGCGGTGACAGCCAGGAGCGCGGCGCCGGGCCGTGTGGCAAGGGGAGTTTCCCGTCCTCTCCTAAGTGGAGACACTGCTCCGAGCTACGCCAGCGCCTTCCGCCTGGGCCCCGGTACCAGACACCTGCCGAGTCCGAAGCGCGGGTCCGGCTCAGCCTCCGGCCCCCAAGTAAGTCTTGCTTTTCCTATTTCTCCTCCGCCGTCTCTGCACCTTTATCTGAGGAACGAAGAGCTTCTGAAAGGAGCTTCGGGAAAAGCGCACAGGGAGCTTCGGCCGCGTCAAGGATGCTCCAGCCGCCGGGCGCGCCCCGGCCGGCGCGGGGACTCGGCTCCGAGGCCCCACTGTTCGGTTCCTATGTCCAACGTGGACGGAGGCGGCGGCAGAGTTGTTGGCACTGATCTGCCCATCTTTTGTGTCTTACCCGATCCCAGAGCCCTGCCAGGCCGGGGGTAGGGAGCGGAAGCCACTTTATGGCTCCTGGCCTCACCTCTTGCCCCCACCCCAAATCCTTTGGGATTTCCAAATGCCGCGGACAAGGGCGCAAATGCTTGCCAAGCCCCCAGCTGGGCTAGTTGGATCCAGCTGGGCGGCCCGAGGGACCTCTACGCCGCCCCCCCCTTCTAATTTTCTTTTTAGGTACAGCATCTTTAACTGGTGGGTGGTGGGAGGAAGGGCTGACTGGGTGAGCACAGGTGTGTGAGTGTACGGAACGACCTACCTTCTGGATTTTCTTGGGGTGGCAAGGGGGAAGGGAGGGAAAACCGAGAACCCCGAAGCCCTAAGCGTCCCGTGCTGGCGGGCTTGCGCGCGGCCGGCGAGCTGGCGTTCCCTGGGTGGATCCCTTGTCTGGCTCATTGTTCGCGGTGACTGTTCCTGGGGCCCGGCTGAGCGACACAGACGTCGCTCACCGGGCTGTAAATAAAAGTGACGACTTGGGGGTGTAAGGGTCACAGTTGCCAGTAGGAAAACGGCTTACCTATTTTGGAAACGGACTTCTCTCCGCTTGGAGGGCAAGAGTAGTCCATAGCAAGAACCGCTCGTGAGTGCGAAACTTAGATCTGACTCTAATTCAGAGAGACAGCCTAGTGAATTAAACCCTCAGAAACAGGGCACGATATTTTCCTCACTGAAATTGTTTTCAGAGTAACGAAGATGGAGTTTTAAGTGTTATTGGCAACTGACTGCCTTCTCTTGCTAGCACCTGTTTCCCTTAAAGGTCCTTAGGTGGGGTTTATTTTTCTCCCTTCTTTGCAAATAATGTGCATTTATTCTGTTTGTGCCTTCAGCTATTCAATTTGCATGGTTCTGGAAGATAAATCCGTTTTTTAAGAAAACAAAGTGCAATTTCCAGTCTACAAATAGCCAAGCACTGGTACAGACGTTCATTGCTCCCCCACCCTGAGCACATACTAACATTCATGGAGGCAGAGATGTGCACCAGGAGTCAGAGGGAGCCTGTTATCCCTCCTTGAAGAAGCCAAGAGACATCTTGTGTATAGTCTTTTTGTTGGATGGTAGATATTCTTATTTTACTTTATCTACTCTTTAAATTACAATGATATCACCTGCTCTTGGTGCCTAGTATTTAGCCCATTACAAAGGATGCATTTGCTAAGAAAGGTGTTCTTTCTTTTTGTAATGTCCATGAGTAGTAATCAAAGTATGCTCTTGAGAGATTTTTTAATTATCTCATGTATATAGCATGTATATATAATATATATATACACACATATATATGCATGTGTACATATATATGTACATGTATATATTTGTAGCTGATTATAAATCCCTGTAGACACTAACACATCCAACTACCCTGGTCTTGTTTAACTTTGACATGTCTGAGGGACCTGCTAAGTACATCAGGCTGCTGAAGCCTGGAGTTCCAGCCTCAAGGGAGAAACACCTAACATGAACACCTCTCTGACTACAATCCAGTTCCAGAGGTGGGGGAGGGGAAACATGCAGTGAGAGTGTTGTTTAGGGTGTGGAAAGCTGTTATGATTTATTCTAAAAAGGGAGGAGTTGAATTATATATGAAAAATATAAGTAGAAACCTAAATAGGCATCCAATCCATATTCACAGTTGTACAAATATACATGTAGAAAAGTATATTGTGTTCTCTTTCTCTCTTCTTTATCACTTTAATGTTTTTATCTTTACCACTTTTCATAGCAACATTTGTACTTCTTTTTATTTTTTTGGCTTCAAAAAGAACTTTTATGTTTTAGCCTATTTTTCTATTACATTTCCCATACCAATAGTGCTTATTGAATGTATTCAATTATCTTTTCAATTGTTCTTTTGTCTACTTGCTTACCATGTCCAACTTTGTACAGAACCAAATAAGCAATGAGTCAACCAAGTTCTAATGAAGATTAAGGCATGAGAGTTATCCACAGCTATGTTTAAACTGTACACTCATTTAACTACCTTCCCACATGACCAATTTTAGTTAGTAGCTTGTTCATCTTCTGAAATCTCCAGACTCCAAATTCTTACGCAGATTGATTACTGCACTAAATCTTGATTGTACAAAGAACAGAACTTAATTATTTTGGTCTCATTTATCAGTCAGCCATGTTTAGTGTTGCCAAGATAATTATATCATTGAAATATGCATGACTTTAAAGAATGCTAGAAAAAGTCTTTCTAAACTTGTTTCCTCATAGAGGGAAGAAAACTTCCTTGTAAAGCCATAATTTAACTGTTGTGAGGCCCTCTAACCATTTGCGTTTATTGAGTTTACTCTTCCACATGAAGAAAGAACCATTGTTTTGTTGTCTAGGAGCTGAAGGAAGATGAAAGTGAGAAAACCAAGCATTAACTGTTATTATTTTTTCTATTTGGAGAAATATATTAAGTAATCTGAATATTTTCCTAAGGTTGCAATAAAATCTTATTAAGAAATATTGAAAAAAGAAATTTTCAGGATAGAAATGCTCTTACTAAGTATTCATTAAAAGTAGGTATATATACATATATATGCACATGTATCTTAAAACCAATCTCAGAATGTTCTTACCATTCTATAGAATTATGAAATATTAAAATATTAATAAAACACTGAAATTTCATCAAATTTAAATTTAAATGTACTGTCTTTTTGCAAGTGTTTTAATTGTAGTAGCCTGTTTGTTGAGATTAAAAAGAACATCATTGATGTCATGGTGTGCTTCGCATTTTAAAATAGTAGCTAATGAATTACAAACATTCATTACTCTACAACCACTTGCTGAAATTTCTCAGGACCCCCAAATAGAGAATTATTTGTACTATATACTGTCATTCATGCCCTTGCTGAATGTATGTTGGTCTCTTTTCCTTCTTCAAAATTAACCACCTTTTAATTTAATACCTGTTGGCCCTCAATCATTTGTTATTTTTCTCCTATGTCATAGATTTATGTATAAATATCTTCAACATAATCTGGAAAGGAACTTCCTGTTGAAAACTTGTGGGAATTAGTTGGGGGGGACGGGGTGAAGAAAGAAATAAAATAATAACTTTCCTTAAACTGGAAAGAATCAGGACTTTACAGGAAAAGAAGGGTAATTCATGGAACAATTCTTTACTCTTTCAAAGTCCAAGCTATGTAACACATAATATACATTTGAGTAATTCAGACACTAACTTCACATATCATAAGGCAAAGTTGTCGAGTATCATGGTAGCTTTTCTTTGTTACATTTGAATGGTGACTTTAGTGCCATTCACTTTTCTCCTTAAGTGTTGAAAACCACCTACTATTTGTTTTCTTATACTTTTGTTTTTTAGAGACGTGCTTGTCTGTGTTTGTACAAATGACAAAGGTAAAATGCTTATTTGGGGGAAATTTTAGTTAAATAGCTCAGTTTATCCCATGAGTAGTTATTAAACGTTTCTTCTAGGAGAGTTTATTAAGTGTTTACTAAGGGAGATCTTGGACACTCAATTTACATGGATTAAGTTCATTTAAATTTTATAGTCTTTTTTTCTCAAATAAACTAATTTGAAGAAAAAGTATTGAATTACCTTTTCAGGCTAAAAATCAATAATCATATTTCTTTTTAAATGAAAATCAACTTAATAAAGGTATAAACATATGAAGTGAAGATATAATGCAAATTATGTGTATTTTTTGTCTTCAGCTCTGTTTTGATGAATTAGTTTTTTGTTTTTTTTAAATTTTCAGGGGTAATGTGAATTTCTTCCCTGATCTCATTTTCTCTCTTGCTTTGAGAACTAGAAGACTCAGAGCCAAACTGAGATCTAATTTATTAATCATATAAGGCTCCATGGGATACACATATGTGTTATCTTTCTCAATGATCTTGTCTTATTCTACTTATGACGTCTGTCTGCCTGGATGTCTAATTTTGTTTTGGTTTTTGTTAATTTGTAAGGAGACAGGCCATCAAAGTAGATGTGAATAAGTGTTTAGAAATAGAATCAAGTCTATAAGTAGTTTTTAAGGCCTAATATTGCAAAAGCAGAGGGGATATTAAACAAATTAAGGATGATTTCTCATCTAAAGACATCCTGACTGGATTTTTCAAAAGCTATAAATACATAACAAATTAATAATAAGTCAATATCTATACACATCTGTTGCATTAAAATGAAAGCCCAAATCCTATCTTTAATGAAATTTAGCTGTCACTTTCTAGAAAAACACTATTATGGCACTAACCAGTAAACCAAAGTAACCATATTTTTTCATTAGAAAGGATTCCCCTCTGGGCACACTAAAATTCAAGTAGTCTGAGTAAGTGAGGATGAAAATAAATGTTGGAAAAATATTGTGAGTCTATGGTACTGGAAACTCCTAGACACTTCACTTTTCCTTCTCTTCCTCCACACCCCAACCCCACTCCATTGGCTTTTCTACTTGCCACCTTAGCTGGGCATGATTGACAGGTGTGGCAATTCCAAAGGCAAGCTAACCCCACTAAGGCTGGCAGCTTTTGAAATTTCTGTCCATGTAAATACAGTATTTGTTCTAAGTACTGCCCTTAAATACTGTAGTTAAGCCTAAGTGCCCACTGGTTGTTTCCCTTTGTACTTGAATCAACAACCATTTTCAGCCTTCAGAAGGGACCACCCACAAAACTGTTCCTTTTAACTGTACGTAGAGAGGAATCTCAGAAAGAGAGGGTCGAAAGGAAAAAAAAAGAGGCAAAAACTT